TCGAGGAGTCTGGACCAGATAAATCCAGTGATCAACAACCCGCAGAGCATCGATCTACGCCAAATGGGATGTGATACGTATTGTCCAACCATGTCGAGCCACCAGTCCGTTGAGTAAGCCTATTCGACAAGGCATGGAGTTTACTGAAAACCAATTCTAACGCTGAAATCTTCAGGGTCAGTGAAAGAGAGACCTGTGTATTTGCAAAGCATTTGATGAAGTAAGTATGTTTTATTGTCTTGTGTGATCAAGCTACTGAACTTTCACCCTGAAAAGCAGTGAAATGATGGTGACTGATAATGATGATGGTGGACAGATTAGGTTGATTAAATCATTTTCAGAACTTCATTATACGCCTTCTCCGCTGGCTCCGCGGCTTAGCCCACCAGGGCTAGAGCATTAGCTCTGAACGCAAACTACCGATTTTGGTTTTCCTATATGAGTTTGGGGTTACAACATGTGTACAATATGTGGGAGTCCATTCCACGGTAAAATCCAGCTATGCTGATCTCACGTACGGCAATTGACTGACTGATTGATTGACCACCCAATCCCAGCTGATGCATCCCTACATGCAGCAATGCATTTGGAGGCGTGGAGGAGTTTTTTTCAGGGCTGCATGTCACTCTTTGATCAAACTCACATATCGGTGATGGCCACGTCAGTTTCCTCCATTTTGTCTCCACCAATCTTTTTTCCACATATGTTGGTTTCTTGACCTTTCTAGCAGCTGGGCTCTGGCTGGTTTGGACCATCCTGAAACGCGTTAGGAATAAACATTGTAGAGGCGACCACCGGATCCCACTGCTGACAGCGCCAAGTTAGAAGGGGCATTCTGGTCAATGCACAATCAGATAATCTCAAGACTCTGGAGGAAGCATCACTTTCGGGGAAAAGAGTTCATTCACGTGCCGCCTATTTTTCGCGATGAGCAAACGCTGTAATTTAGTCTATAGTTTATAGTTAAAATTAGGTGGGGAAGTGCATTAAACTAACTCCAGCATTGGTTGAAAACATTCAAACCAGAATCTGTTTGAAATTTTTGTCTTTCAACGCTAAATTTCTGCAGATGTTTTTATATCAAAATATTTCAGCGCTATGTGAAAGGCTTTGTGATGTAGTAACTAGATGAGGAATATGTTTTGGGAACCAATTTTCAAATGTAACCAGGCATGTTATGAGCATGGTGATTGGTTAACAGCAAAGGTGATCCACGAGGAGCTTGAGGTGGGATCTGACATTTCAGTCCTAACATGTCGGCTCTTATAACAAATTATACCTATTTCACATGGCGAATCCATTCTTGTACAATTTATTAAAGAAGCTTCGTAAATGTAAATGCCCATTACAACTTAAATGCATACCTAATCTGCGGTTACCATCTACGCAAACACAGGCATCTACGTTCGCCAATTTACGAGCGATGGGTTTCAGACTGTTCATAGTATCCTACAGTTAATGATATGCGTGATACTTCCATCACAGACTCGATCATTCTACCAAATTGTAAATTCAACCATCAAGCGGTTGGATATCTGACACAATACGGAGAAATACATTGTTCCAAATGCATAATTTCAAAAGTGGCTGCGTTTATATTTTCCTCATGGAAAATAGAAACTAAAATGTGAGAAAGATGACACATAATGTTGCTGGACCAGCGCACGTTTAAGTCACATATTTAATGGATTCTGTCGATGTAAACACCATCTATAATCATGTGTCTCGTGAACCTGCCCTTCATATGCCGGGACAAGAGTAATAATAATAGTATGTACTGATAATATCCACTAATACTGCCATATTTGAAACCAATTTATTATCCCATTTAGCAGGAATTGTTGTTATAATGCAGGATGTCAAACAATCATATCGATAATGCTAGTTTATAAAATTACGAGGAGTCGGCATGAGCTATCACCTACATCGCCGTACGGGGTTGCAAAGGAAGTCACGAGTTGTAGTGCGCGCGATCCCTAAAAGTGATGGCGTAGTACACACGGATCAAGGGGGACAACACCATGCTTCTTTCTGAGGGAAATAGAAAGACGATGCAAACATTTTCAGTGCATGGGTATTATATAAACGACTTGAATGATGCCAGTTGCTGTTATTGAATGCATCTGATGCATGTCAATTATGTTAATTAATTTTACTATCAGGGCACCAGTAGATATTTTAGGTCGGCCATCTTTGTTTTACATGGTGTACTATCTAAGATTGAAAATTATTTCAAAATGAGATCACGAATCCAACTTACTCTCTAAATTTTGTCCGGAAGCTTGTGGGATCTCTAAAGAGCTATCTCTAAACAGCCCGCTGTCTTTAAAATTACAAACGCAATGGCTAATAACTGGATATACAGCACCGAGTTATCACGTTACACTTATGGCAATCGCCCCAGGATTCGTGAACGCAAAGAGTGCGGCGAAAAAATCCCGATTTCATTTTGTATACTCACTGATTATTTTATTCATTGATTCCAGAAGTTGAAAATGCCTAATATTCCACTCGTGGAATGAAACGTTTCTTTAAAAGCCATTTTACAACTGTGTATAGCTATGTTGTTGTTTACGCCTCACTCAGAATAAGTCTAGCTTTGTGAGTGTATGGCGGCAGAGTGGTCTATGTGTTCTGTCTGGACCTGACAATCCAGTGATTGACACCATAATCATTTATCTACGCATTTTGGATACAATGACATGCATCAAGCAAATCATGGAACCTGACCACACAGTCAGTTTAGTTATTACAACAAGACATGCATGGAGTTTGCTGAACACCAGTTCTACAGGGATATGTAAAATAAATAGTGTAAATAATGGCAAATGGCACTAGTGGCAACTGCACTCTAACCAATTTTTCATCCATAATAATAATAATGAGCAGTCACTGTCGCTAATCTCCATGGCAAAATGCTCCCCAGCGCTAACTACCCTGATTATTATTACCCCGGATAACCCAAACTGCCTGTTAGAGGCTAGAAGAGTTATAAATACATATTTATCCAACCAGGTACCCATTTTTCTGTTGGATAGGGCAGAACGGTACAGACAAACTCTCCGCTGGCTAAAAGGGTGAGACCGCATTAACATCGTATTGCTTCGTTACGTGGGGCAGGACCA